ACAACCCCCCCCACCACCACCATGGATTAGAATTGATGGATCTTATCAGAGCTTTGTTAAATGGCTTTGAGGAACTGCCAGACTGTTTTCCAAAATTGAGAGACCATTTTACTTTCCTCTGGTGGCTTAGTGGTAAGGAGTTGTGCTGCTGACCCAAAGGCAGGCAGTTCAAATTCACCAGCTGCTTCAAAGAAACATTCTTCCTATACAACTTACAACCCCTGAGTTGATTGTGTAACTTGACAGTATAGCAGTATATGAAGATTCCATTTTCCTACATCCTTGCCAATACCCTTTATTATGTGACTTTTTTTATTCTAGCCATCTTAATAGATAAGACATGGCTTCATTGTGTTTTCAAGTTGCATTGCTTTGCTGACTAATGATGTCAGGCATCTTTTCATGTACATATTGTCTTTAGTATAGCTCCCTTCAAGAAATCCAAATTCAGATCCTTTGCCCACTTAAGTTGTCTTTCTCTGTTGACTGTAAGAATGTTTTACATTTTGAATATAAGCTGCTGCTTATCATATGAAGGAGCCCTTGAGGTTTTGTTGTTGTTATGTGCTATTGAGTCACGTACAACTCATTGTGAACCTATGAACAAAAGATCTGAACTCTGTCCTATCCTTCACTACCTTTATAATTTCTAGTGTACTTGAGTCCATTACTGTACTCACTGTGTGAATCCATTTCAGTAAGGGTCTTTCTTTCACCTTTCCAAGCATGTCATCCCTTTCCAAGGAATAGTTCCCCCATCCCAACAACATGTCCAAAGTATGTGAGTTAAAGCTTCTATATTATTGCCTCTAAGGAATACTTTGTCTGCACCTTCTTGAAGACCTATCTGTTTTTCCATGGAATACTCAAGAGGCATTGATTCTTCTTCTGTCATCCTTATTCATTGCATAGTAGGTAATTGAAAAGACCACACCTTGAATCAGGTGCACTTACGGACATCATTGCTCTTACGTATTTTGGAGATTGCCTTGGCAGCAGAATTTCCCAGGGCAGAACACCTTTTAATTTCTTGCCTTCTGGTACCCAGGGTGTTGATTGTGAATCCAATCAAGATGAAACAGTGATAATTCCAATCTTTTCTCCATTTATCATTGGCCCAATGATGAGGATTTTTTTCTTCTTGATGTTGTAAGTAATCCATATTGAAGGCTTTGGTTTTTGATCTTCTGCAGCAAATGTTCCAAGTCCTCCTCACTTTAAGCAAGCCAAGCATAGTCTTGTTATCTGCATAATTCATATTTTTTATGAACCTTCTTCCTATCTTAATGCCACATTTTTCTTCACAGAATCTAGTTTCTCAAATGATTTGCCGAGCATACGGAGTGAATAAGTATGAAGAAAGGATACAAACCTGATATACACCTTTCTTGATTTTAAGCTATGCAGTGTCCTCCTTGATTGGTGGAAGAATCGTCAACAACCTGAGTTATGCAGATGACACAACCCTGCTCGCTGAAACTGAGGAGGACCTGAAGCACTTGCTGCAGAAGGTCAAGGACTGCAGTCTTCAATGTGGATTGAAGCTCAATATCAAGAAAACAAAGATTCTCACCACTGGGCCAGTTGGCAGCATCAGTATGGATGGTGAAGAGATTGAGATAGTTAACAGTTTTAGTTTACTTGGCTCCACAGCCAACACTCTTGGTAACAGCAGCCAGGAAATCGGGAGACGAATTGCATTGGGAAAGTCAGCTGTGAGGGACCTCTCAAGAGAACTGAAGTGCAACAACATCCGGCTGGAGACTAAGGTGCGCCTGATCCAAGCTATAGTCTTTGCAATTATGTGCTATGCATTGGAGAGTTGGACAGTGAATAGGGATGATAGAAAGAGAGTTGATGCCTTTGAGTTGTGGTGCTGGAGAAGAGTGTTGAATATACCATGGACTGGTAGGAGAACAAGCAGGTTTGTCCTGGAAAGGGTGAAGCCAGAATGTTCCCTGGAGTCAAGGATTCTGAAGCTTCGTCCAACTGGTCCTTGGAGACGGACATCATGTTTGGGAGAGTGGAGGGACGGCACAGGAGAGGAAGCCCCTCAATGAGATGGTTCGATTCTATGAGTGGAGTGATGGGATTGAATGTGTTTGAGACAGCGAGGTTGACACAGGATAGAACGGCATTTAGAGTTCTTACAAGAACTCATAGGTTGCTGTGAGTTGCAAATGACTTGACGGCACATAACAACAACAACAACAACAATGTCCTCCTTGGTCTGTTCAGACAACAGTTTGTTGGTCTAAATATAGGTTTCATATGAGCATGATGAGATGTTCTGGGATTCCCATTCTTCTCAATGTTGACCATAGTATATTATGATCCACAAGTCAAATGCTTTTGTATAATCAGTAAAACACAAGTAGATATTCTTCTGTTCTCTGTTTTCTACCAACATCTGTCTGATATTCCTGATGTCAGAATCTCTTCTAAACCCAGCTTGAACTTCTGATAATTTTTTGTCAAGGTACAGTTCTAGCTAGATTGTGGGGTGGTGGTTTTGGGTTGTGAATTTTTTTTTTTTATACTCTTCAGCAAAATTTTGTTTATATGTGATGCTAATAATATTGTTCAGTAATTTCCACATTCTATTGGGTCACCATTCTTGGGAATGGGAACAAATATTTATCTCTTCCACTCCTGGAACAGATTAGTGAGTTGGTCCAGGGCTGCTTCTATAATTTGAAACATGTAAGTAGTGGATTAATTTCAGACTGCTACCCAAAGATCAGCAGTTTGAACTCACCAGCTGTTCTATAGGAGAAAGAGAACAAAGTCTGTTCTTATTGACAGCCATGGAAGTACAAGGCATTCAGTGTGATTCTGAATTAAGTCAATGGGCAGATTTTTGTTTGGTTTATTTTTTTATTATATATATGATTCACAAGTGGTACAGCACTTGTATGTCAGTTTGCCATACTGACATAACTTTTGGGTTGCAGTGATACAGAAGGTTATGTCACTGGTGTGTCAAATGCCACATAGGTTACCCATGGTGGATAGGTTTTAGTAGAGCACCCAGACTAAGATAGAATAGGAAGCAGGACTAGCATTCACTTCTTAAATGCAGGCCTCTGAAAGCTCTATTAACAGTAGAGGAACACAGATAGTTACAGTAGTAGTGGTAGAGCCCAGATTGAAAGTCAGCGAAAATGAGGAAAAATTATTTGTGGATAATAAAAAATTATGACTAATATTGAGAAGAATGGGAATCCCAGAGCACGCATTTGTGCTTATGTGAAACCTGTACGTAGACCAGGAGCTGTTGTGCGTATAGAGCAAGGAAACACTACGTCGTTTAAAATTAAGAAAAGAATGCATCACAGTTGTTTTCTCTCTCCATACCTATTCAGTCTGTGTGCTGAGCAAATTATTCAAGAAGCTGGACTCTGTGAAAAGGAATGTGACATCAGGATCAGTGGGAGACTGAATCAATAACCTGCATTATGCAGATAACACAACTTGGCTTGCTGAAAGTGAGGAGGACTTGAAGCACTTGTTGCAGAAGCTTAACGAATATAGCCTTCAATAGGAATTGCATCTCAATGTCAAGAAAATAAAGATTCTCACCTCGGGACCCATAAGCAACATCCTGATGGATAGAGAAGAGATTGAAACTGTCAACAGCTTCGTCTTACTTGGATCCACGGTTAACACCCTTGGTACCAGCAGTCAGGAAATCGGGAGATATATTGCATTGGGAAAGTCTGCAGTTAGGGACCTCTCCAAATTATTGAGGAACTTTGATGTCATTTTGAGGACTAATGTGCATCTGATTTCAGGCCATGGTCTTTCCAATCACTTGCTGTGCATTGGAGAGCTGAACAGTGAATAAAGATGACAGAAGAAGATTTGATGCCTTTGAGCTGTGGTGTTGGAGAAGAGCACTAAACAGCCCATGGACAGTCAAAAGAACAAACAATTATGTCTTGGAGAGAGTGCAGCCAGAGTGCTCTTTGGAGGCAAGGATGATGAGGGTTCGCCTTATATACTTTGTGCATGCTACTAGGAGGACCTGTTCTTTGGAGAGAGACATGATACTTGGAAAGATAGAGGGTCGGCAAAGGAGACGAAGACCCTTGACCAGGTGGATTGACATGATGATTGCTGCAATGGGCTTTAGTGTGTCAGGAAGTGTGAAGGTGGTACAGGATAGGACAGAGTTCAGATCAGTCGTTCGTAGGGTCCCTGTAGGTCGTTTTTGACTCAACAACACATAGCAGCGTGATTCACAAAAGCTTTTTTCAATTATACTATTTTTCACCTTCTTAATGATATCCTTGTTCATCATTGCTTTGTAATAAGCTTAAAATTTAAAAAGTAGGAGTCTTCCTACTTTATTTTTTCCTGAGATCTGTTTTTGCTGAGAGATTAGCACACCTTAGGCAAATAAACAGTTGTTAATTTAAAACATATATATAAATCAAAGCATCTAAATGAGAATTATGTAAATGAAGTATTTATAAAGTTGATAATATTCCTTATTCTGTGAAGGCTAGAGTGCACATGTAGGGAGGTAGGGAAGGAAGAATACCTTCACTTTCTTAAAAGTATCAGAAGAAGTGGAAACCATTTTGCTAATGGCACAGTGGCAAGGAGCTGTGCTGCCAAACTGAAGACATATGGTTCAAATCTACCAGCTGCTCCACAGGAGAAACATCAGCAATCTCCTCCCATGATATTTACTTGTACCAAAAACTTGCTTGAATGTCAGCTATAGGTCAATTCCAATGCACAGAAAATACCACAAGGGTAAAAAAATACTGGTTTATGTGGGGGAAATCCTCAAGTATCTTTGATGCTGAAGATTATAAAAAATTAAAACAATTGGTAGATACAGTAAAATCTATTGGCTGCTTCTCTTACAATTTTTTTTTAAAACCTGAAAGCCATATTTACTTCTTGGTTTGCATTTTTTAAAGATAGAATAATATCAGTGGAGATCATACATCAGTCTCTTCACTTACGCTTTTTTCATTTTTACACAGACGGAGGGAGCGAGGAACCACCCGATCGAAGACAGTCAAGTGTAGACTCTCGCCAAAGCCGCTCAGGGCAAGGTAGAGTCTTATCAAATTTGTTACGAAAGAAAACAAAAAAATGCTAATTTTTTTTTCTGTTTCTTCATCTGGAGGGTAGAATTTTCACTGAGTCTGTGTTCCAGGGTTTTTTAGTTATTATTATTATTAATTTTTTGTCTCATTTTATTACTTCTGATAATGTAGTTTATTGATCTCTTATATTCCAGTTTCTTATTTACAATATAAATGATGGAGTCTAAAATTTCTATATGACACAAATTACCAAAGATAGAATAAAAAATGATTCCATGAACCATCCTTAAAATGATTATTAACATTGAAATAATTTTGGAGAATTATGGTAAATGTCTAGTTAGAAAGTAACAAAAATGTTACTTTTTAGTAGTAACATTTGTTGGAGTATAATCATGGATTTTTTTTTACTATCTTCAGTACAGTATTTGTTGATTATTTGTTTATAAACTCTGTTATTTTAGGATCTCCTTACTCATTTTCTTTTTAATTTAAAAATGTAGTAGGATAGACTTCTGAATTTAAAAAAAAATTTTTTTTGAAGTGACAACTTCAAAACTATGTAAAAACTTCCCAAGTCAATGAAATTGTTAGATACCATTAGTGGTTGCTATCATGTTGATTCGACTCATGGTGATCCCATGTGTTCCCATAGGATCCTCAGTGGCTGATTTTTCAGATGTAGATTGCTGGATCTTTCTTTTGAGGTGATGCTGGGCAGTGTTATTCGAATGAATTCACACATACAAACCTAGTCTGAGACCATAGTGGGGATATACTTGCAACTCTGCTTTTAAAGCAACTCGACAGCACTTAACAACAACTAACAACAGTATGATATTTAATATAAAATATGTAAGTTCAGAGGTGATTCCAGATTTTAATATACAGCTTTATGGCTTTGCCCATTTTTCTTTTTAAAATCTTATTTGTTATCACCAGGGAACTCTGATACATTAATCTATAGGAATTTACCTTGTGTAACCTAAAGACCAGGCCTCTCTGCCAGCTCTAATCCACCAGCAGCTAAGTGGGACAAAATATGAGTAGTCTCCTTCCATGTGATATACAGCCTTAAAAGCCCCACACAGGGTCACCTGTAAGCTGGTCCAACTCAGAGGAGTTTAAGTTTTTGTCATTACAAATCATCAACTATTTCCAGCTTCTGAATAATTCCTTTCTCAGTCCTCTGTCAAAAAAGCAGAAGCTTAGTTTTTCCAATCTGATAATCCTTTTCTGCACCTGACAGAAAGCAGTGAGGGGTTACTTTATGCTAATTGAGATATTGCTCCTGTAATCAGAGAAAAGGCTTCTCTTCCTTTAAAGGCTTAGATGCGTCTCCAGAAGCTGGTACCATCTTTGTGCTGCCACTACAGTGTTATTGTCTAAGGGCTGGATAGAAGTGAGAAAGAAAAAGGAAATAGACTTTTCCCCAATCTCCCATATTCACATGTACCCCTTTCCTGCTTCTTGAACCAGGAAGGGAGGAATTCTCTTGAAGCTTTTTGTTAACTTACCTGGTATATATTTCTAGGTTTGGGGTTATTTTTGAATCTGATACTTGTCACGTGATACGTGTGGATAGAGCATGGTAAATTCACCACCACTTTAATGTATAAAAGCATTGCTGCTTGTATGGGCATAGAGTGGTGATGTCTGACCATCCCTAATTCTACAGGTGGAATAGTCACCATCAAGATCCTTACCACAACACTGATTCCAGTGAGGTCAGACCATACATACACCATGATCCCTGTACCTGCTTCTGTCAATTTCAGCACCATCTGACTCTCCCTGTGCTCTTGCTTCTTTACTGTGGGTCCACTAATCCATTGCAGTCATCAAGCAGAACTCACAGACCAACCTCCTGATTATAAGGATTATGAAGGAAGTTAACAGGTTATACAGTTCAGCTTGGAAACAGGATCCAATTCTTTAGTTGGAACAGCTTCTCAGATGTGCTTGTAGGCCCCATGACCTTCAGCCTCGCAGCTCTGTAACAGCTCTTTTGATCCTGCCGATTATGGCATCTCTCCGCTAGTCTTTAAACAGCTTGGTTGAAAGAACTCCTACTCTGGCTCTGACTTTGCCTGTGGGTGCATGGAGGATGCAGTCCCATTTCAGCTCTGTCTCACATGAGTTTCTGATTTTCCACTGCTTCTGCTTTTGCTGCTATTGCTCTAGTCTACTTCCTAGTTGGACTCTTTAAGGAATCTTTAGCCCAAAGGGATGTGCTCTACACTCTCTGCTTTTCTTTCTTTGCTGGTATTGAAATTCCTATTTCCTGCCTTTAAGTCTGGTGGGATGACACAGTTTACTAATCCTCTCAGTAGTAGACCGTATACTTTGTTTGCACGTTACCTACCAAAAGATGCTATTCACTTCATTTACAAATTAGCATAGTCCCACCCAGCCATGTGACAGAAGTCATAGCCAATGGCTAGGAAAGCTGTTTTGAATAATCACTGTGCTGCACCATAAGTGGAACTTCAAATTGTTTCCTCAATCTGCTTGTATGAATTTACTTTCAGAGTCCGTCGGTAATTAGTGCTTGCATTCTATTACTTACTTGTATTGTTGCATGCATTGGAAGAGACGAAGTCAAGTGTGTTTGTTGTACAGGCTTTCCTAGAATTAGAACATAATTATGTTTTTCAAAGTTCTATCCTTAGAGTTTTCAAACGGTACTAAGATTACTTCCTATATTAATTTTCTTATGTAGAACAAAGCAAGGTTTTTGGCTGCATGCTTCTCCACATGGGATACTTTTAATCAGGTAAATTATCATATGTCTCAGCAGGATCTGCAAGATAAAGACAGGCAAAAACCAACAGTTATCTCTACATATACATGTGTTGAGTCAAGTACAACTCAGAACCCTCAGAACAACAGATCTGAACCCAATGCTATCCTATAACATCCTCACAATCTCTGACATAATTGAGCCCATTGCTGCAGTTGCTGTGTCAATCTGTCTCATCAGAAGTCTTCCGCTCTTTCGCTGACCCCTTTCCAAGCACGATGTCCTTCTCCAATGAATAGGTTTTCCTAGCAGCATGACCAAAGTGTGTGAGATGAAGCTTTGCTATTTTTTTCCTTCAAAGAGCACTCTGGCTATACCTTCTCCAAGACATACCAGTCTGTTTTTTTTGATAGTCCAAGGGATGTTCTGTACTCTTCTCCAACATGACAGTTCAAAGGTATCAGTTATTCTTTGGTCATACTTATTTTTCAGCTCTCAGATGCATAGAAAATGATTGAAATCAATACTTAATACATATACATAAGATCATTGGGATGTTTCTCCCACTCATTGCACATATACAACTTCTCTCTTTTGTGAGTCCTTAACATTTCTCCCATGAGATGAATGACTTTTGAAGAGTTGCCCATAGTCATTTTATACTCTTTCTCCCTAGTGTGTACTCTTGTGAATATAGCATTGTGAAAGTTCTTGTTAGAGGTGGTTTTGCAACCACTGAATTAATAAGGTTTTTCCCTTGTGTATTGTGTGATCAAAGCTCCTTTTAAAAAAGGCCTTTACACTATTCATTGGAATTGTAGAATTTCTCCCCAGCAAGATGCTGGTGCTAGTCTACTCAAAGTGTGCTGTATTGTACAGAGGGATGTCAGGAATCGGTCCTGTCTCCATACCTTCAATCTGTATGCACAACAGATCATTTGAGAGGCTGGAATTTATGAGGAGGACTGTGCCATCAGGATTGGAGACAGACTCATTAACAACTTGTGCTATGCAGATGATCAACCTTGTTTGCTGAAACTGAAGAGAACCTGAAGCGTTTGCTGCAGAAGATCAAGGACTGTAGTCCTTTATGTGTATTGAAGCTAAACATCAAGAAGACCAAGATTCTCACCACTGGGCCAATTGGCAGCTTGATGATGGATGGAGAAGAGATTGTTAATAGTTTGAGCTTGCTTGACTCCACAATCAAGACTCTTGGCATCAGAATTCAAGAAATCAAAAGATGAATTGTATTGGAGAAGTCTGCTCTCAGGGACCTCTCCAGAGTGCTGAGAGTGCTCATTATGTCAGTCTAGAGACTAAGGCGAGCCTGATCCAGGCCATGGTCTCTGCAGTTACTTGCATCAGAGAGCAGGGCAATGACTAAGTGTGACAGAAGAATTGATGCTTTTTGAGTTGTAGTGCTTGAGAAGAGTAGTGAACATACCAACCAGGAGAACAAATAGGTCTGTCATGGCAAGGGTGAAACCAGGTTTCTCCTTAGAGGCAAAGGGTGTTTTTTTTTATAATTAAATTTTATTAATTTTAATGAGCATTTACAGAGATTTTGGGTTTCCATTCATTCATTGTTGCACTATTTTCTCTACCCTCCTCCCCAGTTCGTTCCTCTTTTTTATCCCCCCTTGAAAGTCTGTTTTAATTGTCCAGTTGCCACAGGGCTTGTCAAAGCCAGTTCTAATTAATCTCCTTTGTCAGTGTGTCCTCTGCCATTCCCTATCACTCCTCCCTGAGAGAGACTTCACCCTGATTCATAAGGAAAAGATTTTCAAGGTATGTCTCACATGCTTGGGGCACTTGGCCAGCAGGGACCAGTCCTTGGAGAAGGACATCATGCCTGGAAGGGTAGAGGGACAGCGCAGGAGAGGTAGACCCTGGATTAGATGGAATGACATGATAACTAGGGCGATTGGATTAGATGTGTTGGAATCAGTAAGACTGGCTCAGGGTAGGGCAGGTTTCAGAGCTATTGTACATATAAGCTTGCTGTGAATTGCAGGCAGCTAGACAGCACATAACAAAAAAATGCTTTTGGACAGTGAGATTAGAGTGTCTGCTGAAGGTTTCCCCTAAAGTCTTTGCATTCATAGTTTCTATTCAGTATGTATCTCTCAACAGTGCCGTTGACACAGTGACAGAATCAAAACAATGATTATGAAGAAGATGGCTCAGGATTAGATAGTTTCGTTCTGTTGAATGTAGGATCATTATGAGATGGTTCTGACTTGATGGCTCCTGACAACGG